GAGCATTGCTTTTGCCATGTCCCAGAGGTTTGATTTGTTGTATTTCATTCTCATTTGTTTCAAGGAATCTTTCAATTTGTTCTTTATTCATTTATTCAATTATCCAGTGGTTCTTAAGTGTCATTCAATTTCCATGTATTAGATTTTTTGGAGTTGATCATTCTATGGTTGATTGCTAATTTCATGACCTTGTGATCTGAAAAAGTGATTTGTAGTATCTCAATGTTTCAAAATTTATTGATGCTTGCTTTATGACTTAAAAAAATATCTATTCTAGAATATGTGCTGTGAGCGCTAGAAAAGAAAGTGAAATGAATTTTCCTTGGTAGATGCTCTATATATCTATGAAATCAAGTTGATTGTTTAATTTTTCTGTATCTTCATTGATTTCCTTTCTGGTTGATGACTTTAGTTGAAAGTGATATATTGAAGTCTAATATTATCATATTTTGATCTATTTGTCTCTTCATTTCTGTAAGAATTTAATTAATCTATTTTGGTGGTCTTCCATTTTACATGTATATATTAGTTACAGTGTGGTTTGTTGTTCAATGAAGGTTTTCAGAATTATATAGTGACCTTCTTGGTCTCTCATTATGTCATTAACCTTGATGTCTATTTTGTCTGAGATTAATATTGCTACCCAGCTTTCTTTTGACTGCATCAGCTTGATATATTTTTTCTATCTTATGATTTTAGTTTATTTATCTTTATATCTAAGGTGCCTTTCTTGTAAGCAGCATTTTGTGTGTGTGTGTGTGTGTGTACGCATGTGTGCGTGTGTGGTTTGGATTGACCTATATTTTCTTTCTTTCTTTTAAAACAAATCATTTTATTTGGGGCTTGTACACGCTTATCATAATCCATCCATCCATCCATTGTGTCAAACACATTTGTACATTGGTTGCCATCAGCATTCTCAAAACATTTTCTTCCTACTTGAGCCCTTGGTATCAGCTCCTCATTTTCCCCCCTCCCTCCCCCACCCTCCTTCCCTCACGAACCCTTGATAATTTATAAATTATTATTATTTTTCCATGTCTTACACTGTCAAATGTCTCCCTTCACCCACTTTTCTTTTGTCTGCCCCCCAGGGAGGGGGTTACATGTAGATCATTGTGATTGGTCTCCCCTTGCTCCCCCACCTTCCCCTTATCCTTCTTGCATCTCTCCTCTCATTATTGGTCCTGAGGATCCCCTGTGTTTCCAGCTCTGATCTGTACCAGTGTACATCCTCTGGTATAGTCAGATTTGTAAGGTAGAATTGAGATCATGATAGTGGGGGGGGGCATTAAAGAATTGAAGGAAAGTTGTATGTTTCATCGGTGCTATACTGCAATCTGACTGGCTCGTCTCCTTCCCGCGACCCTACTGTAAGAGAATGTCCAGTTGTCTACAGATGGGATTTGGGTCTCCACTCTGCACTCCCCTTCATTCACAATGATATGATTTTTTGTTTTGATGCCTGATACCTGATCCTTTCAACACTTCATGATTACACAGGCTGGTGTGCTTCTTCCATGTGGGCTTTGTTGCTTCTGAGCTAAATGGCTGCTTGTTTATCTTCAAGCCTTTAAGACCCCAGATGCTATATCTTTTGATAGACTGGCCCCATCAGCTTTTTTCACCACATTTGCTTATGCACCCGCTTTGTCTTCAGCAATCATGTTAGGAAGGTGAGCATCATGGAATGCCAGTTTAATAGAACAAAGTGTTCTTGCATTGAGGGAGGACTTGAGTGGAGGCCCACTGTCTATTGTAAGCAGCATATTTGAGGTTCATGTTTTGTTTTTTGGTTCATGTTTTCTTACCTATTCTGTTAGTCTTTGTCTTTTAACTGGTGAATTGGATCTATTTACATCCACTGTTGTTATTGATAAATAGGGTTTTGTTGGGGTCATTTTTTTTAATGGTGTTATTGGTTTTAGTTTTCATGATATTTTTCTTGGTTGTATTTCTTATGTTTGTGGTTTTCTTATTGATATCCTCTTTGCTTTTTAAAAATCTTATTATTTTAATCTTGTTTTGTTGAGGTTTTAAGTTTTTCATTGAAGGTTGGCTTTTCCCCCCCAAATTCGAAACAGTGTGTTGTATTTTGTTGATGACTCCATTATCTTCTCCATCCAACTATGTGTTGTCGACTCTGTTCCCTCTACTTTTGTTTATCTTATCTATCTACCTACCTCTATTTATTTATATCTTCTTAGCAGATGTTATCTTTGGTGTCTTGTTTTAATTCATTTAGTTCTGTTTCACTTTGGGCATTGCTTAAGTAGAATGTTTTCTCCATAATTTCTTTTCTGATATTTCTAGGTTGCTGTCTGTTGCTGTTAAAGATTTTTCTGTCCATAGAATTCCTTTTAATATTTTTTGTAAAGGTGGTCATATATTTATAAATTCCTTCCGTTTTTCCTTATCTGTAACGGTTTTTATTTCTCTCTCATATTTGAGGGATAGTTTTGTTGGACACAGGATTCTTGGTTGGCAGTTTTTTTCTTTTCAGAATTTTGAATATATCATTGTATTGCCTTCTTGCCTGAATGGTTTTGGTAGAAATGTCTGAACTTACATAATCTACTGGCCTTTATATGTGCTTGCTGTTTGTTGCTGTGCTACACTCAGGATGTTTCCTTTTCTTTAATGTTGGGAAGTTGGATTATTCTATGATGAAGTGATTTCCTTTTGGGAATTCATTATGTGGGAGTTCCCTGGACTTACTGAATAGTTGTCTCATGTTCTGTCTTCGTATGTCATTGACTGTTTCCTTAGCAGTTATTGTCTTTCTGTTATGCGACGTTTATCGGGTGTAGGTTGTCCCTTTTCATGGTGCCCCATAATGTTTCGATTTTCTTCAGTTTGCTTATTTTTTGGGGGGGGGGTTTATAACTTTATCTTCTTGCATTTCGTTCTTGATAGATTTAGCTTCAAGATCACGGAGTATTGTCTCCAGTGTGTGATCCTGCTGGTTCACTCTTTCATGATGTTACCCAGTTATAATAGTTTGGTGTTTGCCTGTTGTATTTCTCTTTGGAATTGTTGACTTCTTTCTAACATTTCATTCATGTTGTCAGATGATCTTTAGGCGCATTCCTGGATTCTTGAATTGTGACTTGTGTTTGTTCTCTACGCTCTCTGACGTTCCCTCCGGTTGCTTAAAGTAACTGAAGACTACCGCTGTCATCTCCCTGATAGGAGGCCCAGGTGCTCTCCTCCTCCAGGAGCTTCTCCACATCCATTTCTTTGTGCGCTGTGGTTGAGGGGTTGTTTTATCCTGTTTCTGCAAGTGTACAGAGATTGACCACTGCTTCCAAAACACAGTGTTATTATTTGTTCATTTGTTTTTTATGTTTACCTCTGAATACAGAGTAATTCCCGAACTTGGGTAGTCAAGGATGGGCAGGCATTTCAGCATTAGCCCACCCTCAGCAGGAGCCAAAGGCAGAAACAATTAATTATGGCCTCTGTCAAATTCTAGGTTTCAAGGCAGGTTCCCAAGTCACTAGGGGGTACCTGGAACTTATTAACCAAACCAGCACAATGGGGGAAGAAAAGCAACTATTTAGAAGAGCATTATTCAAAAGTATCTCCTGTGAGGGTTGTATGTCAGTGTTGGGCCAATTACTCTTTGGGCATGGGCTTGCGGGCACAAGTAAGTTTTTAGCACCTTGAGCCTTGGGCCTGCAGAGAAATACTGAGCCGACTATCTCCCTTAATACATGCCCTCTTGATTTTGCACTTTCTCAGAACCGGCCAGTCCTCCTGATGCTTGGGGAAGCTTTGCCACAATCCAATCCACAAGAAATCCACCCAGACACTGGGAGTCAGGCAATATCAGACTCAGATAGCCCCGATCTGATTGGCATGCAGTGAGTGGCTTCGGGCCCTCCCATCCCATGGTTCAGAAGGCCTTGTGCCCTCCGGATCAAGTTGCCCTCAACCTCTCCCCACCTGTTGGAAGAATGCTGTTAGCTAGCACTGGGGTAGAGGGAGAGGGCTGCCAACTCAGCACTATGGTCCCCAGAGTAAAGTGGCCGGTACTCAGGCACCCTAATAAAGCAAAATAGAACCCACCGCTTTTCGGGGGGTGGGGTGGGGGGTGAGAGGGGTTGTTTGTATCAATTTCTCCTGCCAACGCACCATCAGCAAGGGTTAGCTTTTTTCAGAGCGGGGTCTGGAACTCAGACTGCTGTAAACTTTCCACAGCTTCAAACATTATTCGGGGGCTGGAGGGTGGGGGGTGGGGAGATGTCTGGAGCAGCACCGACTATGTGGCCATGTTGTTCTCCTCTCCAATAGCTAGTTTTTAGTGAAATTGCTTCACTCATTCTGTAAATGTGCAAGATTCACAAATCCCAAATCTGAAAGCACGTTGTTTTATGCAACTCTCTTCATTCAAGATGAGTTCTCTCTTTAAAGTTCATTTATACTGTTCAAATCATATCCTTGGTCTTAAATGACCTAGTGACCGCTGGAGAGCCCTCCCAGGAAGTCAGTTAGGTGAATGAGAACGGAGGGCCTGTTGTGGTAAGTATCATTTACTAACTGACAGCTTGTTGGTTTCTTGGTAGGAATTTTGCCCTCATGTGGGAGACCAGGGTTAATTCCCAGCCAGGGCACTGTATGTCCAGCCTCCACCTGCCCCTCAGGGAAGGTTTGCATGTTGCTATGATGCTGAACAGATTTCAGCAGATTTTCCAGACTAAGATGGAGTAGAGAAAAGGCCGTATGATCTACTTCTGAAAAGCAGCCAGTGACATCCTCTGGGTCACGAGGGTCTGATCCGCATGTGTGGTTGGCATGGTGCAGGGCTGGGCAGCATTTTGCCACACTGTGGGGCACTATGAGTCGGCGCTGCCTTGATGGCAGCTCCAGCAACAGCATTTGTTTGAGGTCATATAGTCAACCAGTGTCTTTCCCATTAGAAACCATCGTTATTGTTCTATTCCGCGTGGCCTCTCTGGTACAGTCTGTAACGTCCACTGATTGTTCACTCTCCGCAGGTGTTCTGCAACGTGCAGCGGCTTGTGCAGTCCTTCCTCAGCCTTTACTCTGCTGGGAACATGCTGTTCAGGACCTGGAGCGCCCAGGTGTACTGCTCTCCTAAGGAGGGCGTCTGCATCCTCATGGACTTTCACTTGGAGCTGGTGGGCCAGCTCACGGGGAGCGGGGAGGTGGCCGGGCTGCTGGAAGACCTGTGTAGGCAGATGGAGCACTTCCTGGACCACTGGAAGATGCTTGTGGGAAAGAAGCGGGCTGAGTATTTCCACCTCAACTTCTACACAGCCGAGCAGCTGGTCTACCTGAGCACGGAGCTCAAGAAGCCCAGGCCCAGTGAGGCAGCCCTGATGATGCTGTCCTTCATCAAAGGCAACTGCACCTGGCTTGATGTCCTAGAAGTCTCCAGGAGGACTGATGAATCAGCCAGCAGACACCGGGGGAGGACAGTGAAGGCAGAATTACTACGGATCCTCTCCTCTGAGCCCAGCCTAGCGGGCAAGCTGAGGGCTATCATGGAGCAGTTCGCGGCGTGCATGTGCGTCTTCTTGCCTCAGTGCTTGGACCTGGATGCCCTCGGCCAGTGTCTGGCTCACCTGTCCACACTGAGTGGGCCTCCTGTGGAGCGACAGCTGCCCAGCGGCCTGCTGGCCGGTCAGCCCAACCTGGTGGTCTGTGGCCATTCGGAGGTGCTACTGGCCGCCCTGGCCATCTACATGCAGGCCCCAAGCCAGCCTCTGCCCACCTATGATGAGGTGCTGCTCTGCACCCCAGGAACCACGTTTGAGGAGGTGGCGCTGCTCCTGCGCCGCTGCCTCACCCCGGGCTCCCAGGGGCACAAGGTCTACAGCCTGCTGTATGCAGACCAGCTGAGCTATGAGGTGGGCTCCCGGGTGGAGAAGCTCTTCCAGAGCCTGTGCCTGCAGCGCCACCGCGAGGACTACCAGCTCGTCCTGGTCTGTGACTGTGACCGGGAGCACTGTTACCTGCCCTCGGCCTTCAGCCAGTACAAAGTCCAGGTCATCCCCCAGGCGACACTGGAGGCCATGCAGACCTACCTGGCGAGCCACTTCCATGCCCCACCACAGACCCTGTCTGCAGCTGCTGTGTTCAGGGACAAGATGTGTGTTGGGGTGGTGGCGTCCCAGAGAGCTGGTGTGGGTAAGATGGCAGCTGAGATTTCCGGATCCCATTTCTCCCAGGGACCACCCGATGGTGCTTCCCCTGTCCATCAGGGGGAAACTGAGTCTCCGTGGGTCTGTGTCAATCAGACTCATGATAGAACGGGACGCCTCTGCTTACTTGGGCAAGTCCTGTGAGCACCCAGCGTTTCTCCTGTAAGCAAGCTGCTCTGCAGTTAACTTTTCAGTTTTAAACTCCTTTGGCCCCTGCGGGGTTGATGGGCTGAGCGCAGAGCAGAGCAGCTAAGAGCTGAGACTCCCCTTAGCATCTGTCTGGTTTCCCCAACCCCACACTCTGCTTCCAGGTAAAGCTTACCTTGTGAACATCACCAAGCTTGGGAAGGGAAATCATTCCATTCATATTGACTTTATGTCAATAACATTACTATTTCTGTTGAGATAAAAGTTGCTACAATGCCATACTTTTATTTTTTCTGTTAATTATATCTAGCTTGCTATCACTTCTACCAGGGAGACACCAAAGTTAATGAGTAGGTAATGCTAGGAAATTTGAGGGTCAAAAGTGTATTCCTTCATCTGAGGTTATGGTGCATCTGTTTTGTGTAGTACTGGTCACTTTGAACTTTCTACAGAGAGAAAATCCAATATAAAATCCATTAGCGTTGAGTCAATACTGACCCACAGAGATTCTTTTTAGGTCTCTACACTTGCTCTTAGCCAAAGGGCCGAGAAGCGATTCTATATCTGTCTCAAGACAGACTCTTAATTCCTTATGAGGCAGCTACCCTCAAATATCTCCTAGGGAGCAGCTGGGGGGTGGGGACCACCAACCTTGAGAAGCAAATGAATCCTTTGGATCCTTTTGCTCTGTAAATATCCACAGCCTTAATTTCCATGTGTTGCCACTATAGGAAAATCTCTCTATGTGATGAGACTGCACAGAAAATTGAAGATGAAATTTATTGGGACAAAAGTGCCTCTGAAAGTCATTCGACTGATGGAGCCCCAAGTGGATGAAGGCCAGGTCTTGGATGCCCTCCTGCCTTTCCTGAATGCACAGTGCCAGAAACGTCCCGCACTTTTCCACATTGATATGACCTCCTCGGTAAGTGCCTGGGGTTGCAGCGGAGGGACCCAAGTTAGTGAAGACAGAGGCCATTTTCCCACCTGGCTCCACCAGAAGCCTCGAGGCCCAGTGACAGGAGACAGGATAGTTTCCTCTGCCTCTGGATGTTGATACTCAGTGTCATTCTGCCAGAGAACAAAATAGGAGGATCCTTTGGGTTGAAAGATCTCATAATCCAGGTTGTGCAAAGATTGTAAGACTCGTGTGACTCTGTCTTTAGGTACGGTCTGGAATTTGGGGGTTTCTGTTCAAACTCCTCGTTCTGCAGTACTTAATGGACATAAACGGGAAAATGTGGCTTCGGAACCGGCGCCATTTATATGTCATTGAGATCCTGGAAGGGAATGGAGCACTGCCAAAGAGCTCTTCAAGACGGGTATGTAACAGACAGGTTGTTCATTTGATGGTGGAGGGAGTTTTCATTGCTTCAGGTCTTACTGGGGTGGAGGGGTAAGTTTTGTGGTTTGCCCTATAGCTATAGTGAAGTAGCCAAGGTGGATGTTAACAGGAAAACTCAGTCTTGAAGATCACTTTTCAGTTATATCTAGAATAAATAAAAGCACTCTTTAATAGCAGTCACAGAGTATGTTTGCTATTTTGATTCAAGACTTGTGCTCTACCCAGATTAAATCCCAGTTGTGCTCTGAGTGCCGTAGATTGATCCCCTCAGAGAAAGGGCCATCTTTCTAAATGCCAGCTGAAAATGAGAGGAGACTTGTCATGTGCATTTCTTAACAAAAGGAACACACATGCATATATATAATCGGGTTCAAAAAGTGGGTGGGAAATTGGAACTAAGGGAGTTTTCCCCGTTAACTTTTAGAGGTCCCCAGTCTGGATAAACTTAATGAGGAAACATAATTTTAGGAAGTTGGGTTTGTAAAATAATTTCCTAAGAGATTTTTAAGATAAAGGCAGGTGCTCCTTAAATCCAACTTCCATAATACCTTAATCCGCTGCCATCCAGCCAATGCTGACTTATCGTGACCCCGTGTGGGTGTCTGAGGCTGTCACTGTTCACGGGGGTAGAAAGCCTGTCTGGCTCCTGCAGATGCCTTCACTAGCAGTGGAAAAGGGAATCTCCAGAAAGGCAGGGGCCTTCATTCATAAAAGCTGGTCCAACATAGACCTTGTGGAGCATTAGAACACAAAAGCATTTTCTTTACTGAAGTCATTTGGTAATAACCATGGATTTGCTTCCTATGTCTCCTGTCCAGGGTACCCGTGCCCCACAGTTCAGTTTTCTTGACATCTTCCCCAAAGTCACATGCAGGCCCCCGAAAGAGGTGATGGAGATGAGGTTGGGCCCTGAATCCAGCCAGAGAGCACCAGGGATGGATCATAGTGAGTTCTGCAGCGAAACCTTCCAAAGACCATACCAGTATATAAAGCGCTTCCATCAACACCACAACCTGGACACGTTTCAGTACCAAGAAGGCTTTACTGAAGACACACCAGAAGAATGCCTCCAGCACTTCTTGTTTTACTGTGGGGTGATGAACCCTTCCTGGTCAGAGCTTCGAAACTTTGCTCGGTTCCTGAATTACCAGCTCAAAGACTGTGAGGCGTCCGTCTTCTGTAACCCTGATTTCACTGGGGACACACTGAGGGGATTCAAGAATTTTGTGGTGACCTTCTTGATCTGCATGGCGAGGGATTTTGCCACACCAACCCTGAACACCTCGGACCAAAGCCCAGGGAAGTGTATGGTTACCATGGATGGGGTCAAGGAAGAAGATCTAGCTCCTTTCACTCTGCGGAAAAGGTGGGAGTCAGAGCCACATCCATATGTCTTCTTCAATGGTGACCACATATCCATGACATTCATTGGCTTCCATTTAAAGCCCAACAGGAATGATCATCTTGACGCGGTCAATCACTTGAATGGGAAGGTAATCAAGAAAAATGTCATGACAATGAAGTTATACAAGAGCCTGTTGCTTCAGAGGGTTCCCTTCAATGTTGACTTTGATCTACTGCCCAGACATGAGAAACTTGAAAAGCTATGCATGGCATTAGGAATCCAATGGGCCACGGACCCTGATGACACCTACGAGCTTACCACAGACAACATGTTGAAGATCCTTGCCATCGAGATGCGGTTCCGGTGTGGGATCCCCGTTGTCATCATGGGAGAAACTGGCTGTGGGAAAACCAGGCTCATTAAATTCCTTAGTGACTTGCGGCGTGGGGGTGTCGATGCTGAAACTCTGAAGCTGGTCAAGGTCCATGGAGGGACCACTGCAGATATGATCTACTCCAAAGTCCGGGAGGCAGAGCAGATTGCTGTCTTCAATAAGCGTGAATACCAGCTCGACACCATCCTGTTCTTGGATGAAGCCAACACGACCGAAGCCATCAGCTGTATCAAAGAGGTTCTGTGTGACCACACAGTGAATGGCGAGCCCCTGGCCAAGGACTCTGGTTTGCACATCATCGCAGCTTGCAACCCTTACCGGAAGCACTCCCAGGAGATGATCAGCCGTTTGGAGTCAGCTGGCTTAGGGTACAGAGTTAGGGCCGAGGAGACAACAGAGAAGCTTGGCTCCATTCCTCTGAGACAGCTGGTTTACCGTGTGCATGCTCTCCCGCCAAGCATGATTCCTCTGGTGTGGGACTTCGGACAACTGAACGGTGTTTCTGAAAAGCTCTATACTCAGCAAATTGTCCAGAGACTGGTTGACTCCATCGAGATAGACCACAATGAGACTCGTCTGATCACAGAAGTGCTTTCTGCCTCTCAAGGCTTCATGAGAACAAGGGGAAATGAGTGCAGTTTTGTCAGCCTTAGGGATGTGGAACGGTGTGTCAAAGTTTTCAAATGGTTTTATGACCACAGTGAAATGCTCTTCTCAGAGCTGGACTCCTTCCTCTGTGCACCAAGTGTCACAAAAACCAAATCTCAGAGAAATCCGGTCCTCTGGGCTTTGGTGCAGGCCATAGGGGTTTGTTACCATGCCTCTTTGGAAAGGAAAGAGTTATATCGCAGAGCCATTTGCAGGTGTCTTCCAGAACCATACAATGACAGCAAGGTTATCCTGGAAGAAATGACTCAAATACAGGATCTTTTTCTGAATGGTGTACCTCTGAGGAAAACCATCGCCAAGAACTTGGCTTTGAAGGAGAATTTCTTCATGATGGTAATCTGCACTGAGCTGAAGATTCCTCTCTTCCTGGTGGGAAAGCCTGGCAGCTCCAAATCCCTTGCAAAGACAATTGTGGCTGATGCCATGCAGGGCCAAGAATCTTACTCAGTTCTCTTCCGGAACCTGAAGCAAGTCCACCTGGTGTCCTTCCAGTGCAGCCCTCACTCCACTCCCCAGGGAATCATAGCTACCTTCAAGCAGTGTGCCCGTTTCCAGCAGGGCAAGGACCTGGATCAGTACGTCTCTGTGGTGGTGTTAGATGAGGTTGGACTGGCTGAAGACTCTCCTAAGATGCCCCTGAAGACCCTGCACCCACTGCTGGAAGATGGCTGCATTGAAGAAGATCCTGCACCCCATAAGAAGGTTGGCTTCATAGGCATTTCCAACTGGGCACTGGATCCTGCCAAGATGAACCGGGGCCTTTTTGTGTCACGTGGCAGTCTCAGTGAGAAGGAGCTCATCGAGAGTGCCAAGGGAATTTGCCACTCAGACACGCTAATCCAAGACAGAGTCCAAGAGTACTTTGTCCCCTTTGCGAAAGCCTATGAAACGGTGTGCCAGCTCCAAGACAAGGAGTTCTTTGGGCTTCGTGACTACTATAGTCTCATCAAAACGGTCTTTGCCATGGCCAAGGCTTCCCACGAAAAGCCTTCCTCCCAGGACATCGCACAGGCCATCCTTCGGAACTTTAGTGGCAAAGATGACATCAAGCCGCTGCCTATTTTTATGGCCAATTTACCCGAGGCAACGTGCTCTGAAGAAGCCAGCACTCTCCAGCTGATCCGGCAGAACATTTACTGGGATCATCCAAAGGGATCAGGAGGAGAGCTGGAAGATGCTGATTGTCGTTACTTGCTTGTGCTCACCAAAAATTATGTGGCCCTGCAGATCCTCCAACAGACATTCTTCAGTAAGGACCAGCAGCAGCCAGAGATTATTTTTGGTTCCGGTTTCCCCAAGGACCAGGAGTATACCCAGATCTGCAGAAATATCAACCGCGTGAAGATCTGCATGGAGACTGGCAAGATGGTAGTCCTGCTGAATCTGCAGAACCTCTATGAGAGCCTCTACGATGCCCTCAACCAGTACTATGTTTACTTGGGTGGTCAGAAGTACGTGGACCTTGGCCTGGGGACCCATCGTGTCAAGTGCAGAGTGCACCCAGACTTCCGCTTGATCGTCATTGAGGAGAAAGATGTTGTCTACAGACAGTTCCCCATTCCTCTCATCAACCGACTGGAGAAGCACTATCTGGATATCAACACCGTGTTGGAGAAGCAGCAGAGGACCACTGTAGAAGAACTCAAGGGATGGGTAGAGAAGTTCATCCAGGTGAAAGCTGATCCTTTCATAGTCAGACACAAATACAGCCCCCCTGAAGTCTTCATTGGCTACCACTCTGACGCGTGCGCCTCCGTGGTGCTCCAGGTCACAGAAAGGCGAGGTCACGAGGACTTGCCCGGCGACCTCTACCACACAGTGTTGGAGGAAGCCAAATTGATCCTGCTGGGTTGTGCCACTCCGGATGCTGTGGTTCGGCTGAGCACATGCTCACTGGGGGCGTTTGCAGCCCAATCTCTCTCCCAGGAATACTATTATAAGCAGCAGCATAACTCCTTTGCAGATTTCCTTCAGGCCCAACTGCGCGTGGTAGATCTGGAGCACCGTGCCGTCTTCACCGAGGTGATTTTCTTGTTTCGTACCATGTTGCTCTTTCTCCTCTTCCACTGAAGCTTTCAGGAATACCTCGTATCCAGAATTTCAGATTGTTTTGAAGGGTGTAATAGTTGAGACTGGATGGTGAGACTTTTGACCTTTCCCACAGTAAGTCTGAGGGGATGCACGGCATATATCTCAGTGCAGTGTAACCAGTGTTTAAGCGCATCTTTCTGTGTAGGGCTCTCTGTAGACTGGAACCCCACATAGACTGTTTTCTTCAGCAGATGGAGTCCATGTGTCAGTACTGAGCTGAGCACAGTGAGGGTGTATCCACACACTTGTGTTGTTTTTCCCCTTAAGTAGCCTGCAGTATAAGGCGAGCAGACATAAGAAAAGTCCCTGTGCAGTGACAAAGACTGAATATCCAGGGACAAAGACGATCCAGAGACAAGAGCAGATGAGCCTTTTTTCCCGGAGATGAGCAGATGAGCCTTTTTTCCCTGAGCTAAGCTGAGTTGAGAAGTATGGCTAGGAGGGCGGGCATTTGGGCGGAGGGCCTCAGTTGAGCAAGGAAACCAGAAGAGCACCATGTAGGGGCTCAGAGTTCAAGGCTGTGATTGCCGAGAGACGCAGAGGAGACATTGTGGGAGCGACATCATGGAGGGCCATCTCAGCTGCACCAGAAGTTCACTTTGTACTGTCTAGAGGGGCGTCACTGAGGGATCTGTCTTTGTATTGTGCTTCACTTCTTGGGAGATAAAAAGATCAAGTTTGAATAAAGACTGACAGAGCAGCTGGGAGTCTGCTGTGGCACTTCAGCCACAATAGAGTTGGGGGCAGGATTGAGACATAGGATGTAAATCGTCAGAAATTAACCAGTTTCACCTTGGGGTATTTGGATCCAAGGTATGACTGCCTGGTTTTTGCCCTAGAGGACCAGTAATATAGTTAATCAAGATAGCGAATTGATTAATTTGGGGGATGCAGGGGTAAATTCCATTTGGGCTAGGTTCTGATAACTATAACATTGGAATAGACGAGTCCTTTATGCAGTTGGACAAGAATCTGAGCTCAGAGGGGTCGGGTCAGGGCTGGGGATGGAGTCGGGAGCCCTTGGAAGGTTCTGAGTATACCTATTGAAGGCAGGACGCAAGATGACAAGGGAGAAGTAGCCTTGGTGGTGGGTCCTTAGTGAGCAGCAGGATTTCCAGAGTTCTCGCAGCAGGAAGAGACACTGGGGAGTAGGAAGGCGACTCATGCATTGAGGACAGACACGGTCTTTTCCTCTCTACCGCTCATCCACATCGGTTCTCTTCACCTGAGCGCTGCCTCTTTTTGAAGACTCCTTTGGATTGGATTCTTCTCTGTCAGTTGCCCAGCGTTCAGGCACTGAAGATATTTACCCTGGAGCATGTGTCACTGTTATGCGAATCCTTGCAAACAACCTGCCTTTCCCAACTATACAGATCACTACTTTCTCCAGACTGCTCACCAGTCATGACTGTGGGGCTTTCGAATTGGAAGTAGAGGGCAGAACTCCGAGGCCCACCATCCTGTCCCTGCAGCTGTTTGACACTGAGTCCTCCTTCCTGAAAGACATCCGGTGAGCCCCCAACTTCCCTTGAGTCCCTCCCACCCTGATAATTTGAATTTCCTTACTGTGTGGATGGACTCCCTGGGGGTGCAAATTGTTAAGTGCTCAGCTACTAATAGAAAGGCTGAAGACTAAAGTTCACCCACAGACACAGTGGAAGAACGCCCTGGTCATGTAACCCCCAGTCATGAAAGCCCTGTGGCCCGCAGTTCTACTCGGATACACGGGGTTGCCATGAGTCCGTTACCATGACTGGTGACTGTGTGGCGACAGCAGTCACTGGCACCCTCGGCAGCACTGGTTAGTGAGGACTGAGGACCAGGGGCTGACAGGATAGCTGGCCAGTTCCTCCAGCGTCCCTCGAACGCTTTCATCTTTTGCAACTCCATTACCGGTCAGAAACACTTTCCTAAAACCACTGTCCTGTATCTGGATGGGAAGCATTTTTCGGGGTTCTTCTCGCCCCTCTCGGTTGTCTGACCATCTTCTATAGGAAAACCCCCCAAGGAGTATTTTCTTTGCAGCCTTTATGGTCCCCGTCACTTGGGGTGTGGGGGTCATTACCCTTTTTCAGGACAGAGAATTCACCTGGATAATTTGCTTTCTTTTTCAGAAACTGTCTAAGCAACAACGCCAAATATAAAATCCTCATCATTCAGACAGATTTTGAAGACGGGGCCCACAGCGCTCAGCTCATTGCCTCAGCTAAGTATGTTTGCGTGTTTCCTTAGAAACGGAGTCCACTGGACACCCTCACTGCCGTGGAGCTGGTGCTGACTCGGACTTATAGGGCAGGGTAGACCGACGTCTGTGGCTTTCAGAGACCGCAATCCTTTTTTTTTTCTTTCTAAACTCTTTTTTTTTTTTTT